TCACCTCAGCCTCCCAAAGGCGCGGGATTACAGGCTGAGCCACCGAGCCCAGCATATTTTGCTTCTTATGAGGAGGGCAGATGCTTTCGCATGAACTCCTGAGGCGGTTTACCAAGGACTGAGGGCTGGATGGGGCAACGGAAGTCAGAAACAAGCCAAGTTGTCAGGCCAAGTGATCTAGACTCAGGGCTCTCTGTGTTACATTCCTTTTCCAACAATCCCTTTCATTATTCCCCAGACTTTGGTAAAGTCCTGTCCAGGCATCTCAGCGTGCCAGTGTGTTCTCAGATTTGGGGTAATATGTATGGGCAGAAGGATTTCAGGAGAGTAGATAGTAGTCATATCAGTAAAGTGAATCTGGAAGGGAAAAGAGCTAGTTGTATGCAGCAGCTCACACCTATAATCCCAGCACTTTGGGAGGCAGAGGCGAGAAGATTGCCTAAGATCAGGAGTTCAAGACCAGCTTGGACAACTTGGTGAGACCTCGTCTCTACAATACATCAAAAAATTAACAGAGTGTGGTGGCGTGGACCTGTAGTTCCAGCTACTTGGAAGACTGAGGAGAAAGGATCTCCTGGGCCCAGCAGATGGAGGCTGGGGTGGCCATGAGCATGCCATGCACTCCAGCCTGGGCGAAGGAGTAAGACTCCAGTGCAAAAAAAAGAGAGAGAGAGAGAGCTGAAACTCTGATGTCCAGCCTCCCTTGCTCATGCAGCAGCCTCCTTCCTACACCAACCTTAGATTATCAACATTCAACTGTATTGAGGGAGGTTATGGGTTCTTCTTAGGAGAACTCATCTGGAGTCATCCTAAGGAGTCTGACAATATAATTGGGAGCCAAAATATGATCAGGAAATATGATAACATATACACATCTGAAGCAGAGTTTAAAATGCTCAACTTAGAGACTGAGGTCAGCTGAGTCAGCACTGGCTTGGAAAGAAAGCAAACAAACAAATAAATAAAATGCTCAACTTCTCAGAAATCCGGTGAACTGTATAAAAGTGAGATATAGCTTCCCATTCGTTCCTATTTGCTACACACTAATAGCCACAGAGAAGTGCTGGTGGCTTATTCTTAGCCTATCACAGATTCATCTGAATCAAGTCCCATTACACCATGGACCTGCACCTGTTGAAGTCACTTCCTGGAGGGGGGAGGGGCGAAGAGTATCCTCAACAGAAGAATGCACTTCCTGGGACTTCAAGGGCGGGTCGTTGATTGTGAGTAAACTCCTGAGGACTTGCTGAGAAAGTGGTTTCTCAGGAAACTGAAACTGAGTATGGATTTTTCAGCCTCTAAGAACTTTGACCATAAAAGGATCTGAGTTAGTAAGTTTTGAGTTGTCTGTACTGGCAGGTGAGACAAGGGGCATTAGAGCAGCCTGGAGGTGGAGGAAGAGGAGCAATGGACTGGAGGAAGAGGAGTAATGGACTGGAAGCTGTCAAGGAAGAAAGCCCAGCAGGGAGACGGAAATCGTGTCTGCTTTGAGGGTTAGAATTGAATGATTTTATGATCACAAAATTATCTTTTGTGCTGTTTCTATTTTTTTTAGGTTGGAAAATACAGCTTATTTAGAAAGTAAATGAGAGAGAGAGAAAGAGAAAGGATATTCACCTCCCTAGGATAGGGGAGGGGGCCAAAGCTAGAAAAACATGGCAGCCAGTGCTCAAAGAGCCTTGTGACAACACACCAGAGCTTAGCAAAGCAATGGCCATGCTGTTTGCATTTTTATGCACTTCATATTTTGTATAACTGTTTTCACTTGGGATTGCCAACAACAATAGACACTCTGAAGGCATCAATGTCACCCGGGGTGCTGGTTAAACATGCCGCTTTCCCACCCACCCACACCCACTACACCCAAATCTCTAGAACAGAGCTGGGAATGTGCCTAGTGAATCTGCCCTCCAGGTGATTCAGACAAAGGCAGACCTCCTCCTATGGATAATGGGATTCTAAGACAGAAAGAAGTAGCCCTAAGGGCCAGGTCCAAGGTGATGCTGATCTTTGGATTAACGTGGGAAAAACCCTTGAGGAAAAGTGAAACCCAAAAGGGGAAACACATCCCACAGCTGCTCTTTTGAGCACTCCCTGGTGAAATCAATACTGGGAAAACATTGTGCTTTTTTTTCACCAGGGCTCTGAGCCAAGCAGGTCTCCTGTCCCCTTCCTTCCTCACTTCTTTCAAACTTATCTACACACCCTCCTCCTCCTTCTGTTTCATTTATCCTCTTTGGATCCCTGCTGGGGCATTCCAGTTGCATGGCCTCCTAAGCCTCCTTGCCTCTCCTTTGGCCCCAGTGCTTCTCCAAATCCACCAACAGGCGGAATTAGGGGTTGTCTAGATCCTGACAGATTCCCACACGTCTCTGAGATCCCAGTGGAAGAGGGGCGTTCGCAGACTGGACTCTTGGCCTTCCTTCCAGAATGGAAACAGGAGTGGGAAGAACTCAGCCCCTCAAAAGCCCTTAAGGGGGAACTTTCCCAACTTTCTCTCCAAAGCTCAAAACTCTCCACCCGCCATCGCTTCAGAATGTTATCCCCGCTCCCACTCTGAGGACCACCCGAGACTGAGGGAAGAGGCACCCGCAGGCCCTCGACAAATGGGGGGCGCGGCAAGGGCTCTGCATTTGCACCCAGGCCAGGCGATTTTAGACAGCGCCTCTGCCCCCTCCCAAGTGACCCCAGGGCCCCTGGGAAGTTCTAAGAACCACGAGGAATCCCCATGACTCCTCGCCTTTCTAAACCACCTTCCTTCCCCACATAATAATAACAACGGGGAAAGGCAGAAAAGCAACCTCAAAGCGATACAGAGCCACTTGCGCGCTTCCGCCGCCACCTCCAGGCCGCGCCGGGAAGTGCCTGGAAGCGCCGCGCGCGGGGAACCCGCAGCGCCCCAAGTCCACTCCGAGTCCACTCTGCCGCCCGCCACGGTCCCCCCGCCCCGCCCCGCGCGCCCCTCACCATCCTCCGGGAAGAAGAGCACCAGGAAGCGGGTCGGGCTCTCCGGATCCTGGCAGACCTCACACTCCCCACCTCCCGATCTCTTCGGGCTCTGGAAGTACTTTTGCAACTTGGTGCCCAAGTTCTTCGGGGGGTCGGGGCCCCAAGACCCCTCGACCAGCAGCGGGAAGGCGCAGGGCTCAGCCATCCTCAGCTCTGCTCGTCTGCTGGGACTGCCGGGGCCGCCCCAACCCCAGGCGTTTAACTTTGACTCTTTCGCTTTCGTTTCCTGGAAGACTCCTCCCGGCTCTTTGTGTCTCCCTTCGGCGGTAAACAACTGACCCAGGAACGGACTTAGTCGTCCCCCGGCTCCCCATCTTCGCATGCGGCCCACAGTCCAGCGAATTAGCCCTCGGGGCTGGCCGTCCGCACCCCAGGCCTCTGGCCACCTTTCACCTGTGCGCAGGGGTCCCCCGCACCGGCCACTCACCCAAACCACAGCTAAAACCAGCAGCTTTGAGTCACCAGACCCTGAGCCAACCCAAAGCTAGTTTCATTTTTGTTGCCAGCCGACATTTTACAAAAGAATAACACGGCTTGCACACTAGGACCCTTTTAGAATCTGTGCTGCCCATTCCGGGACTTCTTTCAACAACCAAAGTGATGACCAGAATTTTACCTTTCCTTCTGCCTTTTGCTTCCTGATCGGTTAGTACTACATGTCTGGAAAGGTGGGAGACAATACACTCACAGATTTTTTTATGGAATATTTACAGGTGGCCTGTACTTAACAAGCCCTCACTGAGCTCCTGTGGGGGACACCGATGTTATGACAGAGTGGAATTAAGTGCTCTGGAAAGGTGTTCCTGGAACAAACAGGAAGGTATGGGGCTCAGGGAGAGCTTATGGGAAAGTGACATGTAACCCGAGGCCGAACGATATCAGGGGCTGGCCTTGGAGGGTTGAGAAGGGGAAGGGTTCCATGTTGTGATTTACATGGACAAGATCATTCCAGTTGCTCCACAGTGGCTAGAGTGGGGAGCCAGAGGTCAGCCAAGCAGCCACTAGTGTCCCAGGTGACAGATGAGGGTGGCTGAGACTGGGGTGCTGGCAGAGGAGGACCAAGAAAGAAAGGATGGATTCTAAAGTGATATTGAGAGCAGGACTCAAGGATATGAGCCTTGAGAGAAGGCAAAGCTCAAGCATGCCTCCGTGGCTAGCCACGGCTGGCCCAGAAGTGGCTGAGTAATAGAGGCATCTATGAGATGGGAGGACTGTGGTGGCCACAGAGCTGGGAATGTGTGTATCCTTGACCCCAGCTGAAAGAGTGTTTCAAGTCACAGGGAGGGATTATCACTCCAGCGCTACTGGTACCTCAGGTCACAGAAGTGTCTGTTGGCCTGCTGGGGGACGCAGCAAGCACTGTCTCCTGGTGAGGAGGGAGGAGAGCAATATGGTATGGGGGGAGGACTGAAAGAGGGGGAAGGAAGTGGAGAAGGCACCCGTAGCCAGCTCTTTCCAGAAGCCTGACTGTGAAGGGGAAGAAGAAGTTGGACAACAGCTCATGGGTTACCCCAGCAGGGAATTGTTAGTTTTGTTTCCTGGCTTTTAAAATACATTTAAGATTGGAGAGTCTTAGGTACGTTTAAATGTTGGTAAAAAGAAGTGAAAGGAAGTTTGAAAAAAGTGACAGAGGGAGAAGATGGGAGGGACTTCTGGCGACATGAGCCTTAGGAGCGGGACATTCTCCCACTGCACCAACAACAAGGTGGAGAAGGGGCACAGAAGCAGGTAATTCTGAATGAAGCAGAAGGGGAAGCAAGGCAGTTCTCACCTGATGGACTGTTTGTAAAGGAAGTGGTGAGGTCTCTTAGACTCAGCCAACATTAGAGCTTCTTTCTCTTGCAGAGCTGGACCTCACATATCGTCTTTTAATCCCATTGAAGCTGAATTTCAGAACGAAGAGAATCAGAGATGGACCGAAGCGTTTATTGGGGTTTCATTCCTGATTTGTTGATGTTAAACAATATTCAGATAGTTTCTTCTGCCTCCGGTTTTATACCTGCAGATGGCGCTCATCATCGGATCCAAACTGTCCTGGACCCCAGCAGGCAGAAGTGGGGAGGACACAGAAGGGCCAGTCAGCCCCTAGCCAAACAGTGACCATTCCCCACCAAGGTGTCTCCATCTCACTGTAGACCATAACTGAAAGGAGCACTCTCCCTGTTCCCACTTCCCAGATTGTGGGTCCAGAACTGATTAGAGTAGGCAGGTTAGTGTAGGGAAATATCAGGGTTGTAGGAGGCTACAGGAAAATTCAGAAACCTATGGAAACTCTTGCAGGGCCTGCCCCAATTTCAAGGCTGTCATCCAACATGTCTGCTGCAGTCTACTCAGGATACTGTGGTTGGGAGATAACCACCAGGGCAGGAACTATCTGAGAGAGCATGTGAAGCATGAACATCAATAGCAAAGGTTAACCAAAAATAGGCATGTCCCACTTTTGTCTTCATAATATGCTCATTAGCATACTAAATGACATACTCTCCTGAACCATGACAATTCAGACCCTGTCCATTTATAGTAATAAATTGGGGACACCCCAATTCCGGGAATTGCCTACCCATCTTTTAGAAAAATCCACCCCTTTAATATAATATTTCTTCTCTTTTTTTTGAGTTGGAGTCTCACTCTGTCATCCAGACTGGAGTGCAGTGGCCGCTCCCGGCCACCGCAGCCTCGACCTGCTGGGCTCCAGCGATCCTTCTGCCTCAGCCTTCCAAGTAGCCGGAATTACAGTCATGCACTACCATGCCCAGCTGATTTTTTGATTTGTTGTAGAGATGAGGTCTCGCTGCCCAGGCAGGTCTCGAACCCACAGGCTCAGGCAATTCATTCACCTCAGCCTCCCAAAGGCACAGGATTACAGGCTGAGCCACCAAGACCAGCTATATTTCTTCATTATTGTAGCTCACAAAACTCACAAGCCAAAGACCCAGTGGAGCACTTTCTTGTATTAGCCTGCACTTCACCCTGATGTGTGTACTACTCTGTTGCTTTCACTTTTGATAAATTTGCTAAGTGCCTTGCTACTTTCAACTTGCTCTGAAATTCTTTCTTGTGGCAAAATCAAGAATCCAGCATACAACAATGGCAACAGACACAGAATCCAGGCAACAGAACTAGGCAAGCAGTTTCTCTTTTTCTTCACATCACCACTTCATAAGAAACAAAGTTAGAGCCATTTCTGGATTTATTTTAAGGATTTATTTAATGATCAATAATGTACGTTGACATTCAAGGCCTGCTTTTCACTTCTGGGTGGACTGAGAAGCAGCTACCAGAAGATTAGGATGGCATGTCTTGAAAGTCAAGGAAAGAAAGTTCTAGAAGGAGAAAATTGTTGAACATCATTAACCCTGGAGTTCTTAACCTTGTCTCCTAAGTTTTCACCTCATTCACTTGAACCCTCCCCCATCCCACAGAATACTATGCTCTCACAATTCTCTACCTCCTATAGGTATCTGCCTCCCCTCCTAGGAAGCAAATGTCTTCTCAGGGCCTGGGGTGGGGAATGGCCTCCCAACATAGAAATGACCATGTTCGTGTCACTGTGTCTTTGTTCCCCTTCCACCTTACAGCTGAGCTAATCTTAACACAATAAGCCATGTCAGCATTCTGGGGCTAAACTTCCCTCTCCTCTCCTCCCCACCTTCTCTACACACTTCTATAGCCCAGCAGCAGAACTTGTCTAAAATAGCGTCAAACTTCCCATTTCTTCCATTGAAGTGCAAATTGGGGAAAGGGCTGCTCTCCCCTCCATCGTGAATCAGTGAGTATCTCATGCCCACCACTCCACCTCACTTACTCCTGAAACTCCAGACCAGGTCCCCCTAAAATAGGATATGGCCATAAGTCAAGGAAGAAGCACTCCAAGAAGTTCAACCCTCAGAGTGAGTCAGTCAATGGATAAATCCCAGTTTTTGTTATTACTGACTATACGCCGGTCCCTTTCAGGAGCATTATCTTCACCAGACCTCCATAGGGAAAGTCTCCAATACTCTCAATCTGCCAATACAGTAATCCCTAATGGTGGCTTTTCCCAAGATGTAGTAATTTAAGTTCACTAATACTGCAGTTAAGTGAGAGGTGCAGGCAGCCATCTTTTGAAGAGTCAAAAGTAGACTTGATCTTTCATAAAGGCCAATCTTAAATATATTTTAAAAGCTAGGAAACAAAACTAACAATACATAAAGTCCCCTCCTGGTCATCCAATTAGGTAAACATTGAATCAGGCATACATGTGTTTGTCTCAAGCATTCACTCTCAGAGAGTATAATCTAGATCATATTTTTAAAAATAAACATACAATATTTTATTATTACACCATGTGATTATCTCCACCAGTGACATACTGGTTCAATATTGAACAACCAGCTTTTCTGGGGAAAAAAGTTTGCATATGTGTGCATATGTATCATACATTTTACTGATATAATGGTTATATGGCACATTATTTACAAATAATAATAAAATATGCAATACTCAGACCTGGTGTGGTGACTTACCCCTGTAATCCCAGCAACTTGGGAGGCTGAGGACAGGAGGATCACTTGAAGCCAGGAATTCAAGACCAGTCTGGAAAACCAAGTGAGACCCTGTCTCTACTACAGATTTAATAACTAGCTGGGCTTGGCGGTGCAGGCCTGTAGTTCCAGCTACTTGAGAAGCTGAGGCTGGAGGATTGTTTTATTTACAAGCCATGTCTGGCATGAGACTGCAGTAAGCTATGATTGCACCACTTCACTCCAGCCTGGATGACAGAAGAGACTTTGACTCTTTAAAAAAGTACTCTATGGCCGGGTTCGGTGGCTCAGCCTGTAATCCCGCGCCTTGGTAAGCTGAGGTGAGTGGATTGCCTGAGTCCGCAGGTTCGAGACCCGCCTGGGCAACTTGGC